TATTTATGCATTTTTAACCTAAATCACAGCAGTGTCCATCTGTGAAGGATGTAGGCTGTCAAACATACACAACAGTTAGCCAGTCATGCAGTCTACAATCCACCACGCCTATTTAAATGGAGTGTTCCGATTGAGGGGGGTCAAAATAGGATAGAAAATAGCCTATTACTTCTAAATTATGATGTTTTTTGATGTGAAAATCATGCTAACATTATAAGTGGACCTCAGAGAACAGCAGTGCATGACCCCTTTAATCTCCTCAACAGCAAACCTCATTTCTCATTCATCATGACGATAAATGTAATTGTTTTGCTAAAGTATAAGTCTGTTAGTTGACTTTCATTTGGAAAAAAATGTGTAAAATTGGTTGAGAAAACTGTACTACAAGTATCTACAAAGCTAAACAGAGAAACATTGGGGAGAAGAGTGGTAGAGTTATTAATCTCCTCAACAGCAAACCTCATTACTTGCAACATGTGATATCCAGATTTTGAGGAAATGTGCCTTGAAAACATCAATGAGGAAGTTAATAGCATGTAATTGAATATTCAGTTTAGCAATGAGGACTTTGAGAAAATGCTGCTTTAATTTAAAATACTGTGCATTGATAACCCTAGACTGGTGAAAGGTCCTTGCTTACCTGAAACATTCGGTGGTCTCTGCTGAAAACAGGGTTGTTTCCTGTTCAATTTCATGTAAAGGGAAAAGACCACCCAATAAGTAATCTCCCTCCAAGCTGAAGTCTGATGTTGACCAAGAAATTTTGAAAAAGAAACAATTAGTAAAGCCCACAAGAAAAATGGAAATGCTACTGAGAAGCATGGTTTAATAGAGACTGTTGGTCGTGAAACAGACTATGTGTGTAGTGGCTAATCATTTGAAAAATGTCAGGTTCATATTCAAGACGTAATTTTCTTAAAACACATTTCTATTTGCTTAAACCACTATATTCGCTGATTCAAATGTCCATTTCCATATTTAACTCATAAAGCATGTCAATCATTTTTAAATAGAGCATTAAACCACAAATGTCTCCTCATATATATATATA